CGGGCACATCCAGGAATTTTTATGTAGTGTCTGATTTTGAAGCCAAGGGACATAGGATGTCCCAAGATACTGAGGTCAAAAATATTTCAATTAACGTGAGTCAGAGTCCAATATGATCCAAATGATCCCTCATCTCAGTCAGTGCCCAGCGTCAGTAGGGATTGAAAAATAATCTGCGCTACATAGATAAAATTCTACTGCTTTCTCTAGATCTCCCTTGACTTCATTCATCATTCCTTTGAGATATTTATATGCTTCTCCAAAAATGTTCTCTTATTACTAAAATGATTTGGCATTGTTATATACCACAGCTCTTAGATTGCAGAGCGATTAGACACCTTCAGGAAACTAAGATAGTTATGTTGAAATAAGTACTACATTTAGGAAGGAAAAATCAAATGGGACATAACTGGCTAGGCAGTACTACTGCAGAAAAGGATCTAGAAGTTACAGCAGATCACAAATTTAATATGAATCAACAGTGTCACACCACAGCAGAAAAGCAGATGTCATTCTGGGATGTATTAACAGGAGTGTCATATGTAAGGCACGGGGGGTAATTGTTTCACTATACTCTGCCCTGGTGAGGCCTAAGGTGGAGTAATGTGTCTGCTTTGCGGCAACACACTATAAGAAAGATGTGGACAAATTGGAGTCCAGAGGCGAGCAACAAAATTGATAAAATGTTTAGAAAACCTGACCTATGATGAAAGGGTAAAAAAAATGGGCCTGTTTAGTCTTGGGAACCTGATAACAGTCTTCAAATATGTTAAGGGCTGTTGTAATGAGGATGAGGATCAATTGTTTTCCCTGTCCACCAAAGGTAGGACAAGAAGTAATAGGCTTAATCTGCAGTCACTCACAGAGCTGGAAATGGTCAAATTTATGAATTCGTTTTATTTTTCATCAAGAAGAGCAAAAGAAAAACATGTTTCTAATTAATAATTTAAGTGAAATGAATTTTCTCATTTCAAAATGTCAATTTTAAATGATATTTTCTACATTGCTTCTGAGAGTTGAACTGGGAACTATTGGATAGGTACTCAGAGAGCACTGTGACTGGAATGGGTTTATAACAGTGGTTGCATGGATGCAGGGCAAATTTGCTATGATTCTTAATATTAATCACCATGGGAAGTGAGGTGACACTGAATCATTTGTGCTTAAACCATGTCTATTCTACTTTTTAAATAACAAACAGTTCCATTCTCTGGTGGAGAAACAGCCTGTGTGTTTGGGAGGTGAAGAGTGGGACTACCAGAATTGTTTTTCTCAGATACTGATGTTTGGTTGCAGACAGTTTCCTGTAAAATTGGGTGACCAGGTTAGCAGCATTGGTTAATCTGTGAAAGCTCTGCAGCATAGAAACAGCTGTAAACTGCTGTGTTGGGAGCAGGAGTGAAAGTGAGGTCTGCTGTTTGTATGAGAAGGCTCAGAATGTGAAGAAAGCAGAAAATACAGTAGAAAGCCTCTAAATATTATGGGACTGGGCAGTGTTGTTGTAGCCATGTTGGTCCCAGGATGTTAGAGAGACTAGGTGGGTGAGGTGATATCTTTTATTGAACCAACTTCTGTTGGTAAAAGAGCTGAAGAAGAGCTCTGTGTAGGTCGGAAGCTTGTCTCTTCCGAGCTACACCTCATCCACCTTGTCTCTCTAATTGTGGGACTTCCCCCCCCCGCTTTATATTGTCTGTACCTACACACACACACACACACACACACATAGAGTAAACAATTAAATTTGCTAATATGAGTTAATCTGGAAGTAAACCTGTAATGTTTAACTTCAACATTAACTCATATTTGTTCACAAGTAAGTAACGAGGAAGTAAAACATTACAGTTTTACTCTTTGTTACTTACTGGTATTTAACTCTAAGGGCTGGTCTATACTTAGCCGCTAGTTCGGCGGCTGGGGATCGAACTTCCGGGTTCGATTTATCGCGTCTGGTCTGGACGTGATAAATCGAACCAGGAAGTGCTCGCCGTCGACTGCGGTACTCCATCTCAACGAGAGGAGTACCGCGGAGTCGACGGGGGAGCCTGCCTGCCCCGTGTGGACCGCGTCTGAACCGCGGTAAGTTCGAAGTAAGGTATGTCGACTTCAGCTACGTTATTCACGTAGCTGAAGTTGCGTACCTTACTTCGACTTGGGGGGTTAGTGTAGACCAGGCCTAAAAGTCTCCTTGTTCTGAGTGCTCTGGGTAGGGTGCAGGGATTCTTATGAGTAATGTGAGTAAGCTACTTCCCCAAGTATAAAGTATATACTTCCCCTTCAAAAGACATTCATATTTCCTCTGTTGGCTGCTGCAACCTTCTAATAAAAGGACAGCCAGACAATCTCTCTCATGTAACAATAAAGAGAAAGAGTACATAAACTCAGCTTGAGACAAAACCAGTAATTGCTCACTGTGAATTTTTTCCTTGTTTGATATTTTTTTTAAATTTATAATATGTTTTAAATGTAAATGAAGTTGCCACGAAATGTCCAGTCTGCTGCACCAGAATGCTGGAGAATCCAAGGAACTTGCTGCAGAATTTAATCTCATCTTGTCAAGGGGTATATGGGTCCTTGTTAATACGTCTTAAACCTCTGTGAGAACTTTTGGGATGAAAGGAGCTAAATGCGATTTTATGAGAGCTGGTTGACATTTTTTGTTTGCAATGTTTCCAACAAAAATTGACTTTTTAAAAAATGTAACATTTTTGGGGAAAGATTTTCTTTAAGCATCTATTTGTTAATTGAAAAAACAATTTTTAAATGTTTAAATATTCATATTTTCATATTCCCCTCTTGATCCTCCTCTTTACCGATTTGCCACTGAATACAATATAATGTATCATGTCTAGATTTTTCCCTACATTTTCCTTTTTCTTCTGTTCCTTTTTCCTTTGACCACTCTAGCTTTTGAAAACTTCCTCAACTATGGAAAAGTTGCAGAATGGCAAAAGGAAAAATTAAACACCATACTGCAGCTCTTCCAAATTTGTAGAAGTTTTGCAAAGTTACAAAGTGACATAAGGAAAAAGGAAAACATGAAAAAAGTGAAGGGAAAAAACCCTGGACATCATTCATTTCATTGCATTCTATGGCAAAAAGGAAAACTAGGATAGAAAGAAAATCAAAATTTTAAAATTCAATTAAAAAAAGAGTCTAAGAAAATATTTCATGGACAATTTTGTAAAAGTGAAAAACTGATCAATTTAAAACGCTGCAAAATGGAAACAATTTCAAAATATTGGAAAAAAATTGCTTAAAACTCATAATTTTGCACCACTGTGAATTTAAATTGATCAAAATTTAAAAACTTAAAAATAAAGATAAATATTATCCATTGAAATTATAAAAAAAAAAAGTATTCTTCCAAGCCTATCTATAGGACACGGGGGAGAGGTTCCTATTTCATCACAATGTCACTTAAGCACAATCACCCAGAAGCTGCCTATTGAGCTGTATACAAACTTGTTTTCTTGTCTCATATAGTAGCTTAATTACTTCACCATTTAAATCAGGGGTGGGCAAACTTTTTGGCCCTCGGGCCACATCTGGGTGGGGAAATTGCATGCAGGGCCATGAATTTTGGGGTTGGGGCAGGGGGTTGGGGTGCAGGAGGGAGTGTGAGGTGTGGGAGGGGGTGCAGTATGCAGGAAGGGGCTCAGGGCAAGGGATTGGGGTGCAGCAGGGGGCTCAGGGAAGGGGTTGAGGGCTCAGGGAAGGGGGTTGGGGTGCAGGAGGGGGTGTGGAGTGAAGGAGGGGGCACAGGGCAGGGGGTTAGGGTGCTCAGGGCAGGGGATTGGGGTGCAGGGTACAGGAAGTCCTCGGGGTGCAGGCTCCGGCGCAGCGCTGCTTATCTCAAGCGGCTCCAGGGTGGCAGCAGCACACAGCGGGGCTAAGGCAGGCTCCCAGCCTGCCCTGGCCCCATGGTGCTCCCAGAAGTGGCCAGCATGTCCAGCAATGGCTCCTGGGGGTGGGGTGGGGCAGGCGGCTCCACCGCATGCTGCCCTTGCCTGTGGGTACAACCTCCAAAGCTCCTATTGGCTGCAGTTCCCCGTTCCGGCCAATTGGAGCTGCGAGAGTGGGGGGTGCCTGCAGGTGAGGGCAGTGCACAGAGTCCTCTGCCCCTCCCCCTCCAGGGGCCACAGGGATGTGGTGCCAGCTGCTTCTGGGAGTGGTGTGGGGCCAGAGCAGGCAGGGAGTCTGCCTTAGACCCACTGCGCCACGGGGCTGGCAATCCCGCAGGCTGCATTGAAAGCCCTGATGGGTCAGATCCGGCCCACAGGCTGTAGTTTGCCCTCCACTGATTTAAATGGTTCCAGCTAGAGTCTGAAGTTAACATCCTGAGCATAATGAGTGTCATTTGAATTCTGAGAGGATAGCCCTTTTGCGCTGAATTGTTTGTGTTGGGATAGAGTTGTACACATTTCCTGTGTCATTACAACTGGTATTGTTCATTGCAGAGTTAATAACTCTTCATTTCTCCACTGTCATGCTTCTATCAGGTTACTCAGAAGTGTACTCAGGTTACTTCTTCTCTAGGAATACAGGACAAGGACAGATACACCACATAAACATGTGTTCCAAATTTTCAGCTTCTTCCTAAGGATCTACAGGTGCAAAGATATCCTTCCTGGCCAAATCTTCTGGTGCTTTTATCGTTAGAGAAGTATATCACTGCCATAAGTCAAATGCACTTGTGCTGTAAATTCAGAAAGGTGTGATGATACTTACAATGAATGAGATTATATAAATGTGTAACTTTTTAATTCTTCTGTGGTCCAGTGTAGTACAAGCAGCAAGAAAAATGTATAGTAAAGACATTATTTTGGGGGGCAACTCATGTGACACACAGTTCTCTCCTGTTCTAGTGTATTATGATTTGTCTTTAGAGAGAGGGACTCAAACTGAAAAATTTGATCCAAAAGCCAATCAACCTTGGGGAAGTTCAGATCCATATCAGAGAGTTAAAAATCCATATCAGATTTTGCAATTTCTTATCTTAGCGCAGCAAAATACAGTCTCAAATTTCCACTCTTATAACCCACTAGAAATGAGAAAGAAAGAGGCGATCTACACGAATACAAAATGTCTCACTCCTCCTAAGCAGCAGTTGAATCAAAGACCTGAAAATGCAGAAATCAAAGGTACAGTAAATTATCAAGCAGCTGATATTCTGCCTTTTGTTGTACTGTCTTTAGTTAAACAACTTACTACTTCCTCTGCCCCAAGAGAGATTTTAAGGATATTAAAATAAGAATGTTCCTCTATTATATCAATCAACACCATAGTAGTGGGGAGATAAAAAGCAGCACATAGCACAGAAGCAGAGTGGTTTGCAGGTGAAGGGCTCTGACAGACAAGACAAATTTGTTGCAAGCACTCTCATTGGCTGCCAGAATTACTTAGCATCTAGTGAATGGAAATATTGTTTGGTTTTCAGATATGGTCATGTGTTGTCTGACTTCAGATACTCAGAGCAGTGGCTCATTCTGCCCATATTTATGTTTCCTGTTTTCTTGTTAGATTCCCCTGCTTCAGCTCCTCCCTGGAAGATCATTGCGGTGATTCTGGGGATCTTCTGCCTGATATTGTTAGGAGTCTCAGTGGCCTTGGCTATCAAGCGTAAGTATTTTCAGGAAAGACACAGAGTCTCTGACCTGAGCCATTATAAGTATTTTATGGTTCCTTTACAGATCATTCCTGTCCGGGATGCCCTGACCAGTGGGTACGATATAGAGACAGCTGTTACTACTTCTCCAACGTGAAGAGAGATTGGAATTCTAGCCGGAATTTCTGTTCTGCCCAAGACTCAGGGCTCTTGGTAATCAGTGACACCAAGGAAAAGGTATATGACAGTAATGCCGCCAAATCTGTAGCAATCCGATTGGCAGATGTGATAGTTTGGAGCTCTGAAGTAGGGCTGGTTGAAAATTTTCCATCAAAACTTTTTTGACAGAAAATGGGTGTTTTGACTAAATGACCATTTTCATACCAAGTGTCTGTTTTCCTCACAATTTTTAGATTTTGGAAAATTGAACACCCCAAAACTTAAAATTTTGGGAGTTTGACTGAAATGTTTTGGTTTTAATCTGAAAATTTTCAGTTTTAAGTTTCTGAAAATCAAAATATTTCTAGTATCAGGGGGTAGCCGTGTTAGTCTGTATCTACAAAAACAACAAGGAGTCTGAAGAAGTGAGGTTTTTACCCATGAAAGCTTATGCCCAAATAAATCTGTTAGTCTTTAAGGTGCCACCAGACTCCTTGTTGTCAAAATATTTCTAGTTTCTGTTGGTTGGAGTTTTAGATGGTGTAGCGAGTGGTCACCCTGCTCCTGCCCAGAGGAGTTAAAAGCAGCCCTGAGGAGGGCTGTGGCTGGAGAAAGGCTGATTGGGGAAGCAGCCTCAGCTGTGGCCATGCCCCAATCAGGGCCCAGCTGGACCTTATAAGGGGGCAGTGGGCAAGGAGCAGACAGAGTCTCTCTCTAGCTTACTGAGGGAGAAGGGCCTGGCTGCCTGGGAGCTGAACAGAGTACCTAACCTGGAGCAGGGCTGGGGGAAAGCTAGAGGAGCTGGGGGAGCTCCAGCCTGGAACTCCCCCCCCCCCAGGCTGAAGGCCTTGTTAAAGGCCGGAAAGGGTACTGGGGTTGCAGAGGGGCAACCCAAGGGTAGGCAGAGGCAGCAGGTCCAAACCCCCCTTGCTGGTGATCAGTGGCATTTACACTGCAGTCTGACCCAGTGAATGGGGGCTAGATCGAGACTGGCAGTAGCCATAGTCTGAGGTGAGGTGGGGATAGAGGGTGGGGGTTCCCTGGGGAGGGGAGACCCAGATCTGTGGGGGTACTGCCAGGGGGCAGCACCCTGGCCTGAAAGGGGCACTGGGGCACAGGAGGGACTCAGGCCCAGCAGGACAGTGGGACACTGGCCTGCAGAGGGCACTCCAGAGGTTGGAGAGCTAATTCCCTAGACGACCAGCAGGAGGCGCCACAGGGGTGAGTCCTGCCTCATGACCGATGGATAGTCAGAATTTTCCATTTTAGTAGAAATTTTCTACAGAAAATAATACCATCTTTGGACCAACTCTACCTGTGAGATTATGGGAGACTGACATTTAGTGCAGAGTCCCATATGATTATGGGAATACAGGCATCAGAAATGGAGACCTGTAAGATTATGGGATGAATGACATCTGGTAAAGAATTGTTTAGCCCCTTTTGTTTCTAGTTAACAGACATGTAAAATGACACAAGTGAGTGCTGAGACATGCTCCTGCTCCTCTACATGCACCCTGAAAGTGTGGGGTCTTTGCTCCCCTTCACCACCAGTTGGGATCACCACTAGTTCCCAAATTCTCAATTCTTGTGGGTCTTTCCCACAAGTACTATGACTCAATTGCTGGCTGAATATGACTGAAATTGCTTGGCGCACAGAGCAGGTCTTAGTCGGCGGGAATCACGGTGGTCTTTTTGAAAGGTTGGAATATTTTACTCCCTTACATTATGTTGCTGTTTTTGCCCAGGATGATTCTGTTCAACTCCTTTGTCCCTTCTGTCCTTCTTCCCCTTGTAGAACCTGTTCCTGGGGATCCATACAGAAGAACACTGGATTGGATTGACAAATCTCAGTGGCTCTGGCTGGGCCTGGGAAGATGGCTCAACACTCAGCGATATAAAGTTGGTTTGATTCAATTTTTAGTTTTGGGGTTTTCAGTTGTTTTTAAGTCCATAAGACAGATCCTGAGCACCTAACTCAGTGTTTACTCAGGAAAAAACTCCCTCTGAAGTCATTAACCAGAATATGGGTGGAGTAAAACATGAGCCTGTTTCTCTTTTGGCAGGGAATCTTTCACTATTCTTCCCTGACCCCATCTGTGTTCCTTTTATGTCTTTTGCAGGGTCACCTCTAACAGCCCCGTGCAGCACTGTGGTGTCCTGGGGAAGGGGGCCCTCCAGGCCTCCAGCTGTGCAGTTCCTTTCCCATGCATCTGTGAGAAATCCTCCAAGTAACCTCCTGCTGCACTTTCCCACCGAATAGTCTTCACTCAGACTCAGCCAATGGGCCTAAATCATGAACCCATTAAAGATGCTCCTTCCTTTGTTCATGTGGGATAGGTTTGATACTGTTCCTAGGTGGTTAGCAGCATGCACTGCCTTGTGGGAGACCAAGGTTTGATTCCAGCTGTAATGTAGGTATACAATTGTGTCTAAGCACCTAGTGAATGCAGCATCAGCTAAAAAAGCTAAAGTTCTTGTTAATACACATATTGTTGATGATCTTTGTATTTATATTTTCAGCACAGTGGCTCAGACTACCAGAAATTAAAACTTGTTTAAAAAACTCCATAAAGGAAAATAATGGGACAGTATTACATATTTCTCCTTTAAAGATGATATCTCACTGTTGAATTTGGAGTGAAGTAAGCAGCATGAACTGGATTTTTTTTATTCATTCACAAAATGTTACAGTTACACTGTGTGTCTTTTCCTCTTTCTTTAGCAGGCTTACTCTAGTGTTCTCAAGTAATTATTACATTTACTCACTCCTACTCTACTCAGTTAACCTTTAGATACAATACTTTCCCCAAATGGAGGGAAATACTCTGGCATGATTCATATTTCAAGCTAAATAGATTTAACATTTACTCCCCTTTTTTCTAACATTTACTCCCTTCAGCAATTATTACCTATACTTAGATATCCCCTTTAAATTTTTTTAAAAAGAAGACTAAGAGGAGATGTGATAGAGTTGTGTAAAACAAAGAATGGGACAGGGGAAGCCCTTCAAAAGCATCTCTTAGCTTGCTCCTATGATGTAATAGAACCAGAGGATTCTCAATGAAATTAAAAATAGTAAATTTTATCCATTTACAATTTACAGTATTTCATTAACAAAATGTAAAATTAACCTGTGGAATTCAATGCTTCAGGATATTCCTGAGTAACACATTGTGAAGCAATAACCCCACTAGCTCAGTAATATTAGAACAAGGATGAGACAATTTTGGATCTGATTCTCTTCTCACATTGGTTTTACTCTGGAGTAATTCCACTGAATTCAAAGGACTTATTCCTGACTTGCACCAAAATAAGGAGAGAATCAGGTGTAACAGTTTAGGAGTGTGCTGAGGTAATATTATGTGTAACTAATACACTCCCTTTTTATCTGCGCCTCAGCCCATCTGTCTGTTGAAGCATAGGCCAGAGCTCAGTCTTTTCAGGACTTAGAAAAAAAGGATTACACAGATTTAAACCACTGAGAGAGAGTGTCATAGAATTTCTTAAGGATGAACATTTAATATCGATACAAACATCTGCAACCAGCCTTTGGAATACTTTTAAAACTTTGCTTTATACAAAACTAGTAAGCAGTAACTCAGTTGGCGTTTTCCCACACAAAATTCCTCACTTTGTTTCTGTTACATGAATTATAGTGACAGCTGCACACCTTAGCATGCACACACGCATACACTCTGATGACTTCTCAGTCTCTGCAGTGTGCCATCAGTAGTGCATGTGTCACTTGAACTCCACAGAACCAGATGACAATGGAAGCTCCACAGTTTTCCATGAAACTCCTCATGGCCAACTCCACTTCTGGCATCAGCAGTTGGCATCTCCTCAGCTTTGAGCAAGATGGGGCATCTGTAATCTGGATCCAAAGTGGCACAAGGCTCTGGGATGCAGCTTTCTCAGTAGATATTTCTTAGTGTTGCATGGTTCAGCTGCTGAGGCCACAGGTCAGTCTCTTGCTCCTTCTGTTCATACCATTTTCCCCACTCTGCTCTTGGTGGATGTGTGGAACCTGGCAGACAGTTTGGCCTTAATGGAAACTCTCTGCACAACTTCAGAGGCAGTTACTAAGCATACATACCCAGAGATTACTATACCTCCCCACCACCACCTCTAGATGGTTCTGGGGTTGGGCCCTTCTAACTAAGTGTCTTGTCCTGCTCTCTGCATATGTGTAGACTAGAGATATGTAGGATTCAACAAAAATCCATGTCTCCTCCCCACTGCTCTCTCCCTTACATTAGACTTAAAAAGAATTGCTGCAATATGAGCCTGTGGGTTACAGCAGCATTTACAGCTAGAGAAAAAGATAGCAGGACTATAAGGTTCTCATTCTTCAGGGCATTCGTTTATTACCCACTGGGGTGGTGGATTGCAGTGTCTGGGTAAAGACGGCTGAATATGCTGACAAGACTGGTGTTGGTGCTACAGGTGATGTAATTGTTTTTCTGGCTTTCATTGTTTTTCTCCCCAGTCCTTGTTTTAAATGCTTCAGCACTGGGCCTTCAGATACTTCACTTGGAAAGACTAGTTCCCATCTAAGAGACCCTCAATGTCAGGATTTTTTTTCTGATGTCTAGCCTGAAGCTTTTCTTTATTCATTTCATCCCATTATTCTTAATCATAATTCAGTGTCCCCACATAAATAATTCTTTCCCCTCCTCGGGATTCACAACTTTAAACTCTTTGTACACTCTTCTCATATCTCCACTTATTCATCACTTAGCCAATCTTGCTAATTTAGTAGACCTGAAACATTTTCCACGGGAAAATGTCTTTTTCTCAAAATCAAAACTTTCCCCGGGCAACATATCAATTTTGTTGAAATTTTATTTTAAAAAAAAAAAAAAAAAGAAAGAAAGAAATTAAGCTTTTCAAATGTTTGTTTCCAAGTGAATTTTCATTTAAAAATTCATTTAGTTTTATATTATATTTTAAATTTTAAAAACTTGAAACTGGAAAAAATGTTTCAGTTTTATCAAAATGTAACATTTCAAGCTACATAAAAAAAAATTCCTCAAAAAAATTCATTTCATAAGAAATTTTGAAATGTCTTGGTTTTGTTCTTATTCAAAACAAGGATAAATTTCAGAACATCAGGATTTCCTGCAGAATGGAAATTCCAAGTTTCAACCACTTCTAATATTTAGTTATTTTAATCTTTTCTCAGAATTCCATCCCTTTAGACCCCTAATCATTTTCATTGTTCTTCTCTGAACTTCCACTAATTTGTCAATATCTTTCCTAATTCCAGGGGTACCCAAATGAGGAACGGAAAAATATAAGGAACAATTGAAAGGATAAAAGTGCAGAGAGATCTTCAGTTCTTTACAGTCCAGGGACTATGGGTCCATCTACACTGCAGTGGGGCAGCGAATCTGAGAGTGTGTGTCAACTGACTCAGACTCACGGGGCTCACACTATGAAGCTAAAAAAGCCTCGCCAGGTTTCAGAGCCCAGGTTCCAGCCTGTATGGGAACATCCACAGTGCTATTTTTAGACCCATGACCCAGATTCAATTGATCCAGGCCTCTGAGATTGGCTGCTGCAAGGTTTTGTGTGTGTGTGTGTGTGTGTGTGTGTGTGTGTGCGCGCGCGCAGAGTAGACGTATCCTATGAGTTGTAAAACTTGGGATTGTAGAATAGATAGCAAAAGGCCTGTCCTGGATGGTAAAAAATGTAAGGTAAAATGTGCCTGATCCAAAGCCCATGGATATCAATGAGAGTCTTTCCATTGACTTCTGTGGGCTTTTGATCAGGCTATATGAACATTAAGTGTCACAGATTGTTTAGTCTGCATTGTTGCTTAATAAATTCTGCATTTAACTAGTTGCAGCGAGATTTTGAAGTTAACCCTGTAGCCTTAGGTGGTGTCATTTTAACTCTCACAGATGTAAGCCCCTTTGCTCTGAGCTATTTGGATTGGTGTAGAACATCTCACTTCAATTTGAAAACTTCCTGTGCAGTCTGAGACGGAAAATTGCAGAGCGAATACATCTGCCTTTCTTGGGTCATGCTGTCCATCTTCTAACAGGACAGTCTGCTGGTGATGCCACAATTTCTCTGCTGGGACTAGACCAAATACAGCTCAGAAAGTTCAATTCCAGCTCTCCAGCCTCTTCCTAAGGACCTACAGGTACAAACTAAGGTGTCATACCCAAATGCTTCCAGGGCTTTTAATGTGACAGTATTAGATAAATGTACATAAATAAAATAGACCTAATTCAGAAAATGGTGGCTTTATTACACCAAAAGGGATTATATAGATGTGTAACTTTGATTTTATTTCTTCTCTGTTAAAGTTCAGTACAAGCAGTAGGCATGGTGTATTTAAGAATTCATTGTTAGGGTTGTCCATGTGGCATAGTTTTCTGTTTTTAGGTCTGTGCTCTATTAATCTTTTCTGAGTTGGGTTCAAGCTAAAATCCTGAATCTGAACAACTTTCAAATTGAGGAAGTTATCTGGCTCCAGTTTTAGTTATTTTTACTTTTATATATAAAATCTCCAAGACCAGCACCAGCCAAGGAAGTCTATAGATGTACTATAGCTGGAGTTTAGTAAAGTATTTGATTCAGTGTCTCAAGCAAACATGCTTGGAAAAAAATCACATTAGCTAGGATATGAACATGTCATTGGTACTGAAAATTGTCTGAAGGTGTAAAAAATTATAAATAGCCGTATATTGCGTCTCCTCTTTCTGACGTCAATGTCATCCTTCTGCTGAGTGGTAGCAGATATCAGTGGCTTTGCATGTCAGTTTCCTAGTACAGGAAAAATTTGTGACCTAGAGTCTGGGTATATTCTAAGTGTAACTTGCTTAATTGACACATAAACAGCAGTCCTGGAACAGAGGTTGTCACATAGCATGCAAGCCGATCCCTCCTTCCTGTAATCTCAGTCCAACAAAAATGCCCAGTTCCCAGACAGGAACTCAGGAGTTTAAGCAGAGAGCAAACTCTCCTGCCACTCATACAGTCCCCCTCTACCCAGACCCTTGTGTAATCAAGAACACTGGTGTTTCTTCCAAGATTAAAAACTTGCTGTCATGGTAACAAAAGGAACTTGAAAGACTATGTGTAACAGCACCACCTTCCATAACAATAAGAAGCTGAGACAGAAGTGTCTAGAGGGGTATCACAGCAATCTGTTAAATCTGGGGTTATCTGTCATATTCATTAATAAGCCGTAAGGGTGGGTAAACAGCAAAGTAATTAAA